GAGGGGGGTCTGGCCAGGTGGGGGCCATGTGCTGAGGCCGGAGGCGGAGCCTGGCATTTAGGATCATGTGGGGAAGGCTGTGGATGGCCTGGGAGGGTCTGACAGACCTGCAGAGGAACCAGGAGGGGCAGCCAGGAGGGGGACTGGGGGAGGGGGCCAGCTGAGGAAGGGTGCTGGGGATGGGGCCAGCCAGGGAAGGGTGCTGGGGGAGGGGTCTGGCTGGGGAGGGGCCAGCCAGGGAAGGGAGCTGGGTGAGGGGCCAGCCCGGGAGGGGTGCTGGGGGAGAGGGCTAGCTGGGGAGGGGCCAGCCAGGGAGGGGTGCTGGGGAGGGGCCAGCCAGGGAGGGGTGCTGGGGGAGGGACGGGGGCAGGGCCCTTCATTTTCCTCTGCTTCTCCAGCTCCCCCCTTTCCTTAGACAAGCCCAGTAGCCTGGCATCTAGGGGATGGAGGCTCCCACACTGGACTCTAACCAGCCTGTTGTCCTCCCCAGCTGCTGGCTCTCCCTGGAGGGGGGACTGCTGTATGCCTTCGTGGGACCCGCAGCTGCCGTAGTGCTGGTAGGACCCACCCCTCGAGCCCCTGCTGGACCCCTAGCCTCTCGGAGCCTCTCGGGCTGGGGATTTGGGGTGACCCTAATTGCAGTGCCCACCTCTGACCTGCCCTGGGGGCTCGAGGCCTCCTGTTCATAGGACCACAGCCCACCTTAGTATTGGATGCTGGCTGTATACAGCTCACCCTGCCAGGAGCCCTGGCGGGTGGGTGGATGGGGGTGTGGATGATGGACAGATGGAACGATGGGCGAGCGAAGCAGCAGGGAGCTTTCACACTACACTTGGGGGAGGCATGTCCCCCACAAGCCCAGGGTATCTTGTCCCTTGGGGGGTGCTGGGCAGGCAGCATGGCTGTCACCTGCTCTCCGACTTGCTCTGTGGGTTTTCCCTCAGCTGTTTCCCACCCGTTTGTTTGCTGGGAAGTCAGACAGCCCCGCAGGGCCCCCTGCCGGGTTCTTGTCCCCGGTGCGCAGATGGGCAGGGGAGCCCAAGGACAGAGCAGAGGGACCAGAGATCCTAGACCCTTCTCCCTGCCCCTCCCGGGACACTCGTCTGCCACCTGATCTCGAGTTGCTATATTGCAAGAGCTTCCTCTGAGCAGGGCCACCTCCTCAAGGGGCACCCCATGCTCAGCAGGGCTCAGGGGAGGCGACCCTGCTGTTGGGGCAGCATCTGGCGGCCAGCCTCCCTCCCCGGCCGGCACCCAGCCCCCGGGGGCCTGTGCCTTTATTCCTCGAAGGCGCCTCTGCTGAAGAAGCCCGTGCCATGCATGCTAATGCCTCCCACCCGCCAGCGTTGGCGCCATTGTGAGGGCAGGCGCTGCTGGCAGAAGGAGGCCCGAGCCCCCATCCCAGGGGCTTCATGCCACCCCATTTCCATGGTGCATCGGGGGGGGCGGGGGCTGGTCCTTCCCAGCTGGGGACCTTGGGCAGGTGCCCGAGCCGGTGGGCCTTCCCTCAAACAGGGACATACAGGGTGTCCCTCAGCCCAGGACAGACACCCCACCCCCAGGCAGGCCGGCCGGCCAGCTTCCACATCGGCGTGGGGACCTCCCTTGGCTGGTCAGCCTGTGTGGGTCATGAGGAGCCCAGCAGACAGCCGTGGGGGCCTGGGAGGGGGCCCCAGCGGGGAAGGGACACTGCGGGTGACAGCTGCCCCTTTGCCTCGCAGGTGAACATGGTCATCGGGATCCTGGTGTTCAACAGGCTCGTGTCCAAGGACGGCATCACCGACAAGAAGCTGAAGGAGCGGGCAGGGTAGGGCGGGCAGCCGCACCCCACCAAGCGGAAACAAACCCAGGCCCGCCTCCGCGCTGTAGGGTGGGGAAACTGAGGCACAAAGCACAGTGATTTCCAAGGCTCACGGCCAACCCCTGTCGCTCTCTGGGCCTCAGTTTTCCCACGTGGCCCATGACAGGTCCTCAGAGATGTCTTGCCTGCTCCCAGAGACTCTGCCCTTGCCAGGGGCTGTGGGGCGGGAGGTGCCCAACCCGAGGCTGGTGCTGGGTTCCCTGGCACGCCCTTCCCCACCGCGGGTTTGCCGTCAGCGGCAACATCCAGGGCAAGAACCCCGTTGGCCCCGCGGCGCCATGACTGTGTGGTCCTTGTGCTGTGTGACCCTAAGCAAGGCCACCCCGTCTGGGTGACAGACCCAGGCCGTCCTGTGGGGCCTTCACCCCGGGGCAGAGAGGGCAGGGCCAGGCCAGCTCAGTGCCCCTCACTGGGGAAATGCTCCCAGAGAGGGCGGTGCCCTGGGGGAGTCACACAGGGCAGTGGGGCAGGCACCTGGGGAAGGGGTGGGGGGTGCTTGAGACTGGCTGCCTCTCCAGTCCACCCCCAGAGGACAGCCCGCGGTCACTCAGGCAGGGAGGGGAAGCTGCAGGGGGGGGCTCCCTCTCTGTCCCTCCCCCACCATTCCAGGCCCTCCTCCTTTTCCGGCTGTTGCTCTGTCTGTGCGTCTGTCCTGGCTGGTGTCCTTGCGGGGTTTCCGCTGCACCCCCCCCTGCCCCTCTGTGCCTGTCGTTCATTTGGTCTCTGTCTCTCTGACTCCTCTTCCTCTCTCTGTGAACCAAAGCTTCAGGAAACCTTCCCATTGGGCCTCTGGGGGTTCCGGCCGAGCTGGCTTGGTGGGGGCGTGGTATGGCCCTGAAGGACCCCATGCTGGCCTGGATCTGAGTCCCCACTCCCCACTCCCCTGGCCCTGGGCTCCTGGTCTGTGAAGTGGGCATGGGCAGGTGCCTCTGAGGGCCTCCACTTGATGGCCTAGGCCTGCCCCCCACAGCAGGGCCCCCAGTATCATCCGTCAGGCACCCACACTGCATGTGGGTACATGCCTCGTTGTAGACACGGCAGTGACCGCCGGGGGCCTGGGCTGGGCCCTGACCCCCATCCTCTGCTTGGTTTGCCCCTGCAGTGACCCTCCGAGCAAGTGGTCAGCATCCCCCATTTCACAGCCCGGCAGACTGAATTTAGAGAGGCTGCGGAGCTGGTGGCACAGGGATCCGGGCCTGCCCTTGTACGTCTGGGCCCTGCCTGCTGTCGCTGGGTGGCCCCTTACCCGGGTGTGAACAGTGGGCAAGGGCTCGGCCTGGTGCATGCTGCCCAGACACACCCAGACTCGCCCTCTGGCCTGGACCCCAACTCCCCCCACACAGACAAGGAGGCACAGCACACACGGATCTTTGCACGCTCGCATGCATGCGTATGCCACGTGAACATTTGTACACACGCACAAGTGCATGCTCGTGCACACACGCGCTCACACAAACCACAAGTGCACACGCATACCCACACAGACCTGCGGGGGGCCCTGGCCCCCTGAACCCTTGCTCCCTCCAGCTCATGGGCTGGAGCAGGTGGCCCGGCTCCGGGGAGTTCGGCTTGTCTGTGCAAACCCACTGCAGACAGCGTCCCACTGCTCTGAGCAGACACACGGCAGCCTGTGCCCCGGCCGGCACCGCACCCTCGGCTCCAGCACAGACAGCCCCCAGCCCGCTGTGCTCCTCAGGTGCAAAGAGAGCCAGCCCCAGGGTCCCCTCCGCCGGGTGGGGGCTGGCCCTGAGGTCCGAGGGCGCTCAGGAGGATACCACCCCCGGGCCCTGGGCTGGCTGCGGTCGGTCTGCTCTTTGTCCCGACCCCGCTTGATTTCCGCGGGGACAGTGTTTGCTTTTGTTTCAGCCTTTTAATTTCACTTGCAGTCCGCTGCCCGAGCCCCCCCTTGGGCGCGCCCTCAAATGTGCCAGGTGTGGAGTTATCCCTGCCGCCAGCGCCAGCGCCGACGCCGCCAGTAACGCCATGTTAGTGCCTCTGCGCCTCGCCCCTGCCCGGGCTCCTCCCCCTCCTCAGTCAGCGTCTGCTCGTTCCTTGTGAACTTTTTCTCTCGTTTCTTCCATTCCCCCGGCCACTCTGGGCCTCCTGGGCAGCCCCCGCCCGGCCTCCCAGCATCTCCCCTCACCGGCCCCTCTCCCCTGCAGACTCCTCTCCTCCCTCCTCCAAGGCCTCCTGCGCAGGACACGGGGGAGGGCGCCACGTCCGTCAGGTTTGGGCTGCAGCCGGTATGGGGCAGTGGTCAGCCCAACGACGTGGTCAGCTGTGGCTGTGACCTCTGTGTGGCTGCAGTCAGGCTGGGCCGTGGCTGGCGTGTGGGAGTGATCACATGGGGTGGGGTCAGGGTCAGCTCCGT